TGAATGAACCTATATTGATGTTGACGAGCCCAGATATTACACAGACGAGATCAACAATTCGGTGTCTATTTAGACTGGACAGAAATTCGTGGCTTAACTTATTGTCAAATATCTCCTCAACCACTGAATATAAAGTCTCTGTGAGCTTTAGCACAATGACTTGTACCAATTTGTCTTAACAGATCAATTATTTTCAAAACAACTGACTCTTAACTATATTATAGAAAATACTTCTTTAAAATGTCAGTAGGTGGTTTATACAGATTTTTAAAAGTTTACAGCTGGGACAAAGTGTTTTCGACCTACACTCGGGCACAGATAACACGAACACGGGAAACCCGAGGCGACGGACAGCTCGTACAATTTATCATTCTGCGACTGACATCTCTTTAATTTTTAGTCATTGATTAATCCATAATATTATTAAGAATGTTTACAACACATAATTTGTCAATTTCCTACTTGTTTGATTTATCCTTGTCTGGCGGTATATAACTTTGTGTGAAGAGTCATGTGGGCTGCTCAGTACACGACATGGTGGTATCTGTTCTGGTTGAAATTTTGAAAAGACTTTCTCCTCTCTGCATGCAACGTACTCAAGGCATGATAGATCTAACACGTGATGCCAAAGCCAGGCACAGACTTAAGAAATCAGAAATCTTGAATTTTTGTTGGGGTAAACTATAGAAACACAGTGAAAACTCGTTGTTGGAGTGAACTATGAAAACACAATCAAAACTCGTTGTTGGAGTAAACTATGGAAACACAGTCAAAATTCGTTATACCGCCACCCTTGGGAGAAGCATGGAGATGACAGAACAGCGGGACTGGCTGTCTAAAGACTAAAACTAAAGGGTTCCTTTGGTTGGTTTTTTTTCCCCATACTGCTCAATATCAAAGAAAATTATCATTCGTCCTGAGAGTGTAACATCCACTCAGTGGAAGGTCTACATGAGCCCCTCTCTTGTCTCAGTCTAGCACACCTCCTGAATCTGGTGTCTGCTTACATCTGTCCCCGGGGGTTTATGCACCCCGCATAATTTAGCAAAATTTGATCATTTTTTTGCATAATTTCTTATATATTTTCCTTTATCGACCTTTGTTAAAATTAACAGAATCGCATAATTTCGCATTTTTGGGCTGAGTTTGCATAATTTCAGAAATTTCTTTTGCATAAAACTGCGGTGACAGTTTTATAAGCCGGTCGCCTACATTTCCAACACATCTTGTAGTGCAAAAACTGGACGTGCCCATGTGAGGACACGAAATTACAGGTATCTTCTTTTCTTTTTCCGTGAATTGTACAGCATAGTTCGCTTAGAATAAAGTCCATAAGCCATACTATAGCGTGGTCAAAAATTCGTGGCGCAACTTTTTGCCAAATATCTCCTTAACTATCGAACATAAACTCCAGCTTTTTCACATTGACTTTTATCAATTTGTCTTAACAGATTAATATTTTTGTAAACACCTGTTAGCTCTATTCTAGAAAATTCCTAATAAATAGTCATAAAAAATCCCAGTGGAAGGTTTCTACTAATTTTAACAGATTTACAGTTTGGACAATATCGCTTTTAAAAGAAAGTCCGTGATTTTTTTTCTAATCACAAGGTTATCTTTATTGGACGCATGTTTTGAGAACTTTTAGTGCAAAAAAAAGTGTTCACTATTAAATTAATTTCTTGTAACTAGTTTTGCCACTAAATGGTGTCATTGGTGAGTTGTGACGTAAGCCATATGTGTTACCAAAATGTGCGTGAGAAGCAGGAAGTGCTGTGAACAATTCCATTTTCCGCGTGAATTAGATTTGTAGTAGGCCTAGTTTATATAAATTTTTTTTAACAAAGAAACGATTTTTAATCTAGCCTCAATCGTTGTGGAAAAATATGATTAAATTAATACAAACTGACACAAACTGTTGTGCAAAATATGGGCGACATTGATTCACCTGTGAAAAGGATATTACTTGAGGAAAAGTTGCGCCACACATTTTTGACCGATCTATAATGCTATAATGCTGAGCAGGTTTTATTGGAATTCCCTCGCTTGGTATGGAATGATACTGAGTTTAATGTCCCTTTCGGCACTCAACGTCTATCTCCGATAGGACCAGTGGGGAGCCACGAAATCAAACCAAGCTCAAGAACCCCTGGCGGGAATTCGAACCAGGGTCAACGGCATCGAAGTCCCACATCCTGACAGAGCTAACCAAGCGTCGTATTGTCATTAATTACAAGTGGAAAATACAACTAAAGTGTGGTAAAAAGTTCGTGGCGCAACTTATTTTCAAATATCTAAACTATCAAAGATAGGTTCTCCAACTTTTGCATAATGACTTGTATCAATTTGTCTTAACAGATCAACATTTCTATAAACACCTGCAAGATGTATTCTAGAAAATTCCTTAATAAATACTAATAAAAATACAAGTGGACAGTCTCTACAGATTTTAAAAGGTTTACAGCTGGGACAATATCGCTTTTAAAGGCAAGTCCGTCATTTTTATCTAATCGCCACATAATGCTTATTAAACGCAAGTTTTGAGAACTTTTTGTGCAAAAAATGTGTTCACTAGGCTATAATAAAATTATTTTCTTGTAACAAATTTTGCCACTAAAAAGTGTCATTAATGAGGTGTGACGTGAACATATGCGTGTACAAAATGTGTGTTAGAAGCGGGAAGTGCTGTGAACAATCCCATTTTCCGCGTGACGGAGATTAAAAGAATGTTATATACATTTATGAATAAAGATTTTTTAAAAATCTAGACTGAATTGTTATGAAAAAATAGGATTACGTTGAGACAGATTGATACAAACTGCTCTGCAAAGTATGGGTGACATTGATTCATCCGTTTAAAGAGATATTTTAGGATGGGTTGGGCCACGAATTTTTTTACCACACTATAGAATAGAGAAAAATACTGAGAGAGGAGAGGAGGGGGAAATTTCTGTCATTATTTGAAAACGTAAGTACTGGTACTCGAGTTCTCGTGCACGTGGGAAATGAATTCCTGTGTGTGCCAATGGGACAGACGTACACAGAACATCATGACGTCATTGTGAGACAATAATCAGACTACAGCAGTGTGAAAGAAGTACAGCCGGCTGGTGGGGTGGGAGGTGTAGGGAGTCTCAGCTACTCCTGATACGGTACATTCAGTGAATGATTCATGCACGGAAAATGGGATGGGGGAGAGAGGAGGGATTTGGGGGGGTGTCAACGGACAACATGCTGAATATTGACCATTGGCTGGCGGCCTCAGATGACAAGGGGAACATACGGTGTCTAATACTTCAGTCCTGTAATGTGGTATTTCCCGACCATACAAATCGCTACGCATGCATTGGCCACGCACATAGACTTGTATTTGAACATCCAAGACTGCACTCGGACATAATTCCGGTTCACCATGATGCGCACCATTTGACCTTATTTGGAGCCAAATGGATTGCAAGGAGGGAAAACTTGCCCGCGCATTTGACAATAGCGAGGTGTGTTTTGCGCTTCATTTGCACGCCTATTGGTGCGCACTGGTACGCAAGAAATTTTTAAAACCTTTCTGGGTTTTTTGCTGTTGTTGTTTTTTAGAGAGAAAGCAAAAGGTGGCGGCTATGACAGTGCGCAGTCTTGGATATTATAATTTAAGTCTATGGCAACGCATGAACCATTTTTGTTTTTTAAATACCGTAGTGTTTTTGTCAATTGGGTATTCTTGCTATTCGTCAAACAGCCACGTACGTCTAGTCTTATATCTTAGGGTGTAAAAGTGAACACACCTCTATCCCCTCCCCCCCTCCAAAATCTGACACCGACCGTTCATGATACCTTCAACTTCAAGTTCAAGACACCTTTGTCACATTGTTCCCAGTCGTACAGCGGGCGAGGGAAAATGTTTGAATAATGTCATACAGACAATGACTCTTTTTCAGATTAGTCAGAAAGGATTTATAAAGGGACACTTTTACAGATTAGGTGGAAAGGGTGTAGGCCTATAGCCCTCCGCTTATGGACGCATCATTGCATCATCCAAACATGTAAGTTACTGGAACTAAAAATCCCCAGATGACCTCAGACTTGCGGCTCCACGTCACTAGCTGCTCTGTCTTATGACGTGGTGTAGACGTACAGTGGGGTCCACTCACAAAAATCTTGGAAAGATTGATAATTGCCAGTATTTTACTGCCCCCCCCCCCTCCTCCCCAATTGGCGGGCTGCTGCTTCGGCCTAGCAATCAGGACTGTTCATCCTGGGATGAGAGGGATAATATATGTATATTATCTTAGCAGACAGACGGGGGAAATGTTTGGAGTTTGGATAGAAACAAAATCATCCGCCTCCTAAATGTTCTAAATTGTGTTGGCAGGGGCGTAAAAAACACTTACATTAAAAAAAATCCCCCCCCCAAAACACGAGTCTCGACTCTCTAGTGAAGCGCACCTTGAAATCAATACATGTACAACAAATGCTTGCTATGTAAAAATAGCAGCAGTCTGTTCTCTGCAAGAATATTGTAAGTGGACCCAACGGTAAGCTACTCGCACTTGCAAACTACTTTTGCGAATTACAGAGTTCTTGGAAAGGTGATCGTACTGATTTAGAAACTGTGGGCAGAACGTTAGTACTGACTAATTGTGTGCATAACAAAATGGTCACAGCAAACACAGAAACAGTAGATTATCGCTTGGCAAAGGGGGTTAACATCCACCCAAATCTCTACAGCAAGTCATCCTGGGCAAAACAATGATGATATTATATTATTATTATTCCAGACGTGGGTGTCTGTTGATAAGAAAGCTAAGTGTCTGGTGTTAAATCAACTAAGACGTACGTCATTCCACAGGGCGCTAACCATCAGGGTGAGACCAGATGTGATGATGATGTTCACGAAACTCCATGAGAACAACAGATGCAGAAAATGAAAGGCATGAAAGAAAAAGAAAAAGGAAAAAAAATCGGCTTTCATTTTTACAAAAAACGAAGAAAGTCAACAAGAGACCTTTTCCAGTTTTTGTCTTTTTTTGTTCGCTTCTTGCTCTTTTATTACCGTACTGATATTGTTCTTACACATGGACCAGGAAAGGAATAAAACAAAGAAGAGAAAAATAACTGCTAAGACAAGAGACCTGAGGGGTAGTAGTAATAGTAGCATCTCTCCACAAACTCCAGTGAGGATGGCAGCCTAGTCGGGCACGGGTTCGGAGTGCAATGTGCCCATTAAAAAAACTCATCACTGCTAGTAGTATATGAGCCAGGAATAGAAGGGAGCAGTGGAAAAATACAAAGCAAAACTCAAGTTTGCCATATTTTATTTTTGTAAATGTCTTCACATGTAAAAGTACAAATATTGCAATACAACCAAACTACTGTTAATAACCTGGACAACAGTCTATAGCCTTGATTGCGTCATGATGCACACAGAACAACAGACAGCTGATCAGTTTTGGTCTAACTTGTGGTTTCAAAAATGTTCTCTTTCAAAGAATTTTGACGTTTTTTTCTTCTCTTAAATCTCACCTAAAAACGATTCACCGCCTCACGCGGACGCATTCCATTGCTAGTAATCAAAGTGGAAAGAAAGAGGGATTTAAAAATCAACATTAATTAGTGTTTAGCTGAATCAAAGGTGAAAATATACTGAAGGGCTAACGAAAAAGCAGAAGCACATAAAAGGACGATAAAGTATATGCAGTTGGCAGCTGGAAGAGAATTAAATACACACACATAGGTAGGTTCTTAAATGTTAGTAATCTCAAGGTGGAACTCAAAAAATAGCATGGAAAACATCTCAAGTAGAATGTCACTGCAAGTGAATGTTTAGAAGAAGAGGTGACAAGCTATAAATTACGAGTGTGGACAATGGGCTGGACACCGGAAAGGGGGGGGGGGGGGGAGTAATATGACATTTAAAGGGACTACTTTTGAGATCAGTTGGAAATGATTTCTGGTCTCCTGCCTATGAGCGCATCATGGCACCAACCAGACAAGTAAAAATCTACCTAATGTGAAGAACCGAGTGATATGATCAACACTGGAATGAATTCGAGCAAAAAACAAACTCCAAAACAATAAACACCAAACAATCAAAAACATGGAATCATGAAAACTATTGAGAAACAATGAACTTACACAAAAAACTGGGGTTAAAAAGCTACGCCGATTGAATACTCAAGACTGGATGAAACATCAAATTCACAAAAGAAAAGTCTATATTGATAAAAGGACGTGTAAGCTAACAGTAGCCCCTACACGCACATACCATGACAGAAATCATATTAGCAGATGCCGGAGAAGGAAAGCAGACATGAAGAAATTAAGCATCCACAGAATTGTGAACAGAATGGGAGATGAACCGAGACGAGTCGACAGTAAAACCTGGCCCTACTGACAACTGAGAACTTATTTCTGCCGGGAGGAAAGGGAAGGTACATCCGGGAACCAAGAAAACGCCAAAACTGAGAATTGCCTACTCCATAATGTCTACAGCCTGTACTTTTCAGTTTAAACCAAGTATACAGATTGAGGAAAGAAAAGAGGGGGCCAAAATGTAAAATGGGTGTAAACTTTCAGCCCAATCCCCAAGTGGATGAACACAAAGCTATTATAAAACAATAATAGCCACAGACTAGAAAACACGGACCCACTTGGCATCAGGCGATACTTGTGATATGAACTCAATGACCATCCGCAAAAATAGTATGGTAACAATTTCTACCATAGTTCAAAAATTGTATAGTTGCCACAAATAGTGTGGAGTTAATAAAAAAATGGAATTGCATATATTATCATTAGGCTTGTTGGGCCCAAAACAGGGTTATTACGAAAGCTGGAAGTTGGGGGGCTTAAAAAGAATATTTGCTGTTACATTCTGAAAATGGAACAATACATTGCACAAGTAAATGATTTCAACATGATTGCCAAAAGTTTGTTCATCGCTTCAAAAGAACACCAAAAGGAAACTTTATATCTGGGGAGCAATAAAATCTCCAAAGAAAAAAAAGAGAGACAATTCATCACTCTCACAGGTAAACTTTGAAATATAGACGAGTATAAACCTTGGAGCAGTCCACCACTATACGATGACTATCAGTGAACCACTGCAGCAACCAAACTGGAAGCTAGCTGGAGTTAAGAGATTCCTCTCGGCATTGTTCCCTCCTCAAGTCAACCACATGAATCCAACAACCACACCACAAGCAATTGCTCAAAATCAAAAAACACATCAGGTAATAGTCACAGCACAATGAGAACAAAGAAGATCACATGTTTGCAAATACACAGGAAACAACTCCATGTTCCCCAAGTGGTGAAGCACGGTCAGAGGTGACAGTGTTACTACAGCAGTGGACAAGTTCCTTCAACCAACTTGAAGAAGAAAGTGTTCAGGTATCAGACGACTACTCACAGGGGGGAGAGGCTATTTAATATTTCCCCGCTAGCAAAGAAGAGGGACATACTGCTTTGTTTTATATGCTTATGCTGTCCTCAGATAACAACTGCTGACTCCATAAATCTTTCTTCCCCATAAGATTTCCACAACAAAGATCCAAAGAATTCAACTGCATTCTGCTTCACTACAACCTAGAGGAGAGATCACGGCCTATTCTATGAGACAACGACATTCCACGTACGACCAACAACAGTTTGCTGGAGGCACCACAAGTTCAGACTCGAAGACAGAGATCCATACAAGATTGTCCCATAAGGTTAGAGCCAGCATGAACCACCTGACTACCTAGGAGACAAGGAGAAATTGTGACCATCACACTATGAATTAACACAAGAACGGTTTTGTTTCATAGAAGGGTGACACAGTGAAAAACGGTAAACAACATCAAAATTTATCAGCAAGTTGCATCAATGGAAGATCTGAATTATTTGCTAATCAAATTCAGCAATTCCTCACAATTTTATAACAAAATGACTCAGAAAGGGAGGAAAGCTGGGGCAGGGAGGGGGGTAGTAATAAATTTGACCTTGTATTGCCCACAGACAAAAACATGCAAAACTGCGATGTTAGTACCAGTACTACAAAACACTGTTCTAAATCAGTAACAGGGACAAGAAAGAGTTTTAGCATTTAGGAATTGTGCAGTTAAAAGAGTCGCATGAATTGAGAAAGCCAAAAGTGATATTGATTTATCTGAGCTTTATCCATTTGAATGAGACACAAATTAATACAAAGCAAGAAAACCTGAAGAACTAAACACAAAATGAAAACCAAAGGTGACTGAACAGACTTCAAACACTTCTCATAGTTTTATTACAGCAAATTCATGGGTTAGTGTTTCTTTTCACAATTTATTTTGTTATGGCACAGCCATGAAAATGCATGTGTTCGATAAGACTCATGAGTATTTCTTTTTCTTTTTTTAAATTTTAGATCTTTCTTCTCCCCTTTTTTCAGCAACAATCTAGACAACAATTTGTCTTGGGGTTTTTTTGGTTTTTTGTTGGGTTTTTTTTTTTCTTTCATTTTACAGACAACTTGTGAAATCATCAGTCCAATCCATTGTCTGCTTTCTTTTATTTGTATATACAAAGAAGAAAGAGAGTCATGCCACAACGAAAAAGAAATAAAACAACTCAAGATATAAACAGAGGGAAATGTTTAATAGATAACCAATGAAACAAAGTGCTTCATTTTAACCAAATCCCACGGAAGAAAAAAATGAAATAGAGAAAAACCAAACTGAAGCCACAAAATCAATCAATAATGAACATCGAGTAAAGATTGAGCTTCTACGTGCACTTAAAGCACAAGGATCCACAAACATACACACATGACAAATATTATGCAATTATCAAGTTCCAAATCATGGACTACATAAGAATTACAGTTATAAGGGAAAAAATATCATAAATTGATTAAACTAAGTTTGACAAATAAAATGTAATTTGAAAAATGTTAATTATGCACAAAGTCCTTTAGATGCTGCAATTTAAAAAAAAGACAGATTTTGTTATCTTAAGAGGAGGAAGAAGGTGTAGGGGGTAAGAAGGTGGGAGAGGAAAATGAAGAAACATGTCAAAGAATTATAAATTACAAATTCAAAATTATGTCCTTGCAAAAAAACAATGAAACAAAATTACAAATATACAATGAGCCCCATCTTAAGTTGATACAGAGTAAATATCACCCAATCTTTAAAAATAATTAGCAGATTTTCTTCCTCCTTAAAAATGGTAAAGGCATGGGAAATAGGGAACAGGAGTTGGGAGGCTGAAGGGGGAGGGTACCTGTGGGGGGGTTGGGAGGAAAGGGTGGGGGGGGGTAAGACAGAGGATGGGCAAGCAAACTTCAGACTGTCTTAATAAGCTGTCAAGATTAACATTGTACAGTAACAGTATTATGTCTAGATAATTCTTCCCCAAACAGTCAAAGTCCACAGATCACGGCAAAGAACTCATCCCATCTTCCTGAGATTGCAAGTCATTTGTCTATATTAATACGAGTATAAATAGGAGCTATTCATACTGCCTGACTAGCTTGTTTCGATATTAGTTGGGTTTACCATAAAAATCTAAAAGTACGCTCAGGGTTATGCACTCTGGTGTGTATTTTCTGGTGACAATCTGTCAATGAATGATGAGTCGTGTCTTTTTCCCTTTTGTCAAAATATGAACTACTAAATGTTGATTATGGTTTTCGTCCATTAGCTTTGAATGACACCTGTAGAACACGGTTGCCCAAGGTAAATCCATTCAGGTTTTGTATTGCTATCAGGGCCTCCTCGTAGTTGGTCATTGTGACAAATCCGAACCCTTTGCACTTCTGCGTGGTGAAATCCCGAATGACCTTGACGCTCTGCACGGCACCGAATGGCCCGAAGAGCTGCCAGAGCACACTGTCCTCTGTGTCGGGCGCCAGGTTGTACACAAAGATGCACCAGCCTGTGGCGTTGAGGGCTGTGGTTGAGGAGCTGCTGTTGGTGGCTGCTGCCGCTGTTGCTGCCGTGGTGAGGGTTGTGGGTAACAGGGTGTTGGGCAGCAGTCCAGACTCGAGAGGGGAATACCTGAAAGGAGAGAAGGACATTTCCACCTTCAGAACGTCGTTACCCTTGTACCACGAAGGGAAATAGTATATTTTCTTCAGAATGGAAAAACAGCAAAGTCCGACACGCACAGACAGAAGTATCACCATAAGTGACATAACAAAATCAATATTTAACGAATTTGGGGAAGGGGGGGGGTGAGGAAGGGGGACATATAATCTTCCAATTCATTTTGGTCTATTCATCATTGAAGCAGACCGCTCATGAGACTTGCTTCATTCTTACAAAACACAGGACATGAACTTTAAATCATTCACCTCTTAGGCAAAATACAGATAGGTCAGTAAAATTCCCCTTAGACACATTTGATTTCCCAAAAAACCTGCAGTAATCGACTAGACAGAACGAAATGATACCAATACCATGCAGTAACAACTTTGGTCACAAAAATAATTTATCAACAGTTATCTTTGATCACCACGTCCATAGGAATCTCCAAAGTACGACTGCTCCATTGACATCCAGATCTTTGAAAACTGATACCTTTGATTCAGTTGCAAATATGTGTACTACTACTCGTTTTAACGTTAGTTATCTTCTTCAAAGTACTGTCTCTGGGGAAGAAGCCCTTCAGATAACATTCAAAACACTTCATGTTACCACCCTTACCCCAGAGTCCCCCCCCCTCCTCCCCCCACCCAATCCATTGTATATAAACGTTATGGTCTCAACATTTTTAAGATCTGAACGAACTGCTTGATATTGGTGAACTAACACTAACTTGGTTGTAGTCTTGTACCTTGTGCCACAGAAACCACTTAAGGCTGAGACATATTCGTAAGATGACAATAATACGGACATAATCGTCATTTCTCGGTTCCATTTTCATTAGAAATAGATTTCTAGAAATTATGAGAGACTTGAGGGTGAAACTGACCTAAACCTGCTGGAGGCTGTGGCATGGTGAATCGGGCCGAAGAATCGGCGGTGTGTGGGCGACAAGTAGGTGGCCAGTGCCAGGGGAGCCATGCCAGCCAAGTTCTTATTTGAACTCGGTGAGTTAGCAAATTTAACAGTGATGGGGTCCAGACATCCCTCTGGAATGTGGTTATTCAGCTTCTGAATGGCACGTTCCGCTTCACATCTTTGGTCAAAGCGGATAAATCCAACACCTTTGGAAAGGCCTGTGAAATATCGTTTAAACTGTTCAAAACAAATGCGCTGGAAAACGTGCTACAACAGCAAATATTATAACAGCATCTCAGAACAACATTACCAAAACAGGTTTTACCATTAATAATCACAATTTGAATTTCATAATAGTTCAATTCAGCAATGGAAAATGAGTGATATTTAATCAAACTCGGGATGCAATTACTGAAAAATTATTCAAATTAATAAGATAATCATTTAACTTTGGTGATTATATCATCATTATCGCAACATCATCATGCAAACATTTCAATTCTTAATTTACAGCAAATGAAGTAAACGTACTCAATTTACATATAAAAGAAAAAAAAGAAAAAAATACTAAATAAATACATTATTTGTGCAAAAGAGGAGAAAAAAAGATACAGAGCTATCAAAATAAATGGAAAATAATTTATGTGCATACTTTACTTTCATGCATTTCCATCATGTACAAAGCATTCAGATTACGAATCTAATGATACTGCATGAATAAAAAATAGCCTCTAAAAATACAGAACTAAAAGCGATGACTAACAAGAAAATCGCCATATGTAACTAGGTATCACTCACAAGGCCCAATAAGCTTGATTTTCTTTTTTGTACATAATGAAAATGCCACAGGTTTTGATAGTTGAAGGAAAAAAAAAAAAAAAAAAAAGAATAAATCAACATAACCAAAGCATTGTTTATAACCAGAGAATCAAGGATAAAATTTGAATTTTGGAAATGCACAAAACAGTCCACAATACAAAAAAACAAAAAACAATATCAAGTCAAAGGATAAAAGACCAGGTAAAGCACGTTGTACTAAGTGGAACAAAGGAAGACTGGCGGGTGCTGGTGACTGGAAGCGGCAACTCAGTCAGGGAACAGTTGGTACAATTATTCTTCATCTCGATTGACATTCCTTCTTTCATCCTCCCTAAGACACTATTTTCCTTACTTCCTTACTTTGTACTAACCAAAAAAAAAAAAAGAAAGAAAAAGAGAAGAAGAAAAAATAGACCGGGAAAAAGTCTTAGTGTCAGCATTCCAAGAAGTGTCGACTGAAAAACCAACTGGGTGATGTTCATACTTAACTCAGAATGTTCAAGCAAGTAAACGCGTGCACGGTTAATGTAAAATGCTACAGACCCACCATCTATAAAATATAATCTTATACATTTGTATTTCCTTTTGGGCAAGTGTTCATTTGCTTATTTTCACAGTTGTTTTCTTTCTCTGGTTCTTTTTTGTAATTTCGATGTTCCGGGATAAATGGAAAGAGTGGGTACTTAACATTCCCTCACACAGACTTCTCATTAAACAGAGACCCATGCTTCCCATTGGCAGGACTATTTAAGAAAACGAAACCAAAAACAGAGTTCAAAAGACTTTAAAACAACCTCGACAATAAAAGCAAAGAACTTTTTCTTCAAAGACTGCAAACGTGAACAAATGCAAAACAAACAAAATCAAGCCAAATGCAATACTGAATACGATACTCATAGAAACAATTTTCATCAACGATGAAAACCATAAGACACAACTCAGACAAAAATAAAACACAAATGGGACAAATATGAAGTAAACCAAAAGAAAGAACACTGTTGTTTAAAACGTAATAAACTTATTTCTAAAAGGAACAGCTAGAAATATGGAGCAACATGCAAACAAAACAAAATAGAAGTAAAAGGATAAAGAAAAAAACTCAGTTACTATGAAAACGAAAACAAGAAGACGCTGAAGAACACCTGACCTGTGTTTGTATCATAAAGAATTCGCGACGTTATAATCTTTCCGCAGTGAGAGAACAACTTCTCCAAATCCTGCTGGGCCATAGACTTTGGCAGCCCACTTACATACAAGTTAGCACCTTTTATACTTTCACTACTGGGCCTTGCATATGATACCTAGAAAAATTAGTTAAAGTTCATTTATTCCCACTGTGTGGCTGGGGAATTGTAAAAAAAAGCCCCAAAAAGGCTAAATGATGCACCAGTGAAGTACCCTTCCTCAGATTTTTGTGTCGTAAAATTTTGGATGTTTCAATAAGCCAAATGAAAGGGTTCATTAGTAAGTAAGCCTGCATGAACGCAAAGAAAGGAACTGAACCAAATTAGGTAAGAAAAGACTCAAATAAATATAATATGGTAAATGAAAAAAAAAATTCAACTGAGAGGTAAATTACTTTGACAAGGGTATAAAAAAGAGACCCTTATGGCTCCTAGGATGTTACTGGCATGCACTTTAAATGGGTTATGGCTCTAAAATATCACAGATACAGTTTAAGAGGTCATAGCAATAGGTTCAAGGTTTCCTACAAAGAAGGGGAGGGATAGTATCACGCAAGCTTGCTTCTCAGGCCCACACCATTTGCCTCATTGAAAGAATGGCAATTTCCATTTGCATTATCCGAGGAACGTACACTGATGCACCACAGCATTCATCATTGTGCTGCTAAAACTGGAGCAAGTACCTGTGGTTTGGTCATAAAGTATTCTTGAAGTAATGATATTCCCAATCTGAGAGAACAGTGCCTCCAAGTCCAACTGTGTCATAGATTTAGGCAAGCCACTAATATATAAGTTAGCTCCTTTAATACTCTCAGAGCTTGGGCGTGCAAGAGAGACCTGAAAATCAACAGAGACTTTTAAAAATGCAAAATAAACTAAACTCAAAAAGACCTTCGGGCGAAAAAAAAGAAAGTAGAAGTGGACAGCAATGTGTACATGTGGCGCTAGTACTTGAAAAAAAAAATTGGCAAAATAGATCAAAATCACAAGTGAAGTCTGTCCTCCCTCATTCAGCCTGTCCGCACTGCAATGTGAACACCACCACTCCGCCAAACAAAAAGCCTTCAAGCTTTCTGAACCATTTTTTTCTTTCTTTTTTTAAAACAAAAGTAAAATGTTTTTTAAAAAGTAACAAAAATTAAAAAAATTCAGACGTGTGTCACTTCAGTACTCAACCGCATGATCTATCAATGCATGATACAAAGGCCACGTGTAAATAAATTCAGAATGTCAAGTTGATTGAGAACGTCATTGCTCTTTATAGTTTGGTTTCAACTACTGGACAAGTAAACAAAATCATGTGGAAGCTCTGCCCGTGAGATGCACTGAAAAAATAAAAAAACTCATGAAAAGAATAATTGCAGACAACGAAACATAATATAAAATAAATGACAAAACAAGGAGTGAAGGAGCCAGATCCACTTCATAAAATAGAATCAACATCCTTCTTCTCTTGTTTCAAACAAAACTCCAAAGTAAAGATCATAAAGAAACAGAAATCGATAGTTTCTAATCAAAAAGGGCATTTTATGAGTATAGGTAAAGGTCGAATTTGTATCTTTTTTTGCGGGAAGGGGGGGAAGGGGGTGTTCTCCTAATAAAAAATAATAAAAACATAAACCAAGGCAAACATCCCAGTGCACCGACCCCCATCCAAGGTCTGCTGCTAACACCTCTTTGGACATTTTTGGACTTGGAGACGCTCTGTAGCTTCTTTCAAAAGATTTATTTAAAGCATCAGAAACAATGGATATCATTACGATTTAATAAGAACATTTCAATAATCACTTAACAAATGTGCAATGCTCCTACATAATCTTGCATAAGTCTTTCCTAAGTTAGGAAAGGTCATGGGCTGAGAAACAATGAAGTGATAAAATGACCAATGACTAGCTATAAAAACATATTCATAAGACACTTAAATCAAGATTGTTGTACTGTAATATAGAAGAAAAAATTAACGGTGTAAATAATGCATAAATCAACCCATTTCCCGTAAACGTAATATACCAAGGCTTATTGGAGGTACAGAATTTAAAAAAGAAATCCTAAAACAAATGAACGTTTTGTTATGTACAGATAAAAGAAATAATAATCAGTGCTGGAGTAATGAACAGATATTTACCTTAATCGTTTTGTTCTGAAGTCTGAGACCATTTAATGTGTTTATTGCTTTTTCAGCATCCTCTGGTCTCTTGTAGTTGACAAACCCATAGCCGAGACTTTGCCCTGGGGAAGACAGGGTGGGGGAAAAAGCGTTAACACAAGAAAGCACGTTTGTTTGTTTTTCTCTCTCTCTCTCTCTCTCTCTCACAGACAGACAGACACACACACACACACACACACACACACACACACACTTGCA